TCGATTGTCTGCCATTGCTCTGATGGAGAGGGAGGGACCTGACGACATATACCCAGAACCCCCCGTGACACTGTTTTGCATCATTCAGGCATTGGGATCTCAACCCAGAATTCCAATGGGCGGTGGAGACTGCGGGAACTGTGTGATAGCTACCCATAGTGCAACGCCTCAGAAGTCGACGCTAGCCTCGGTACTGTGGACGCGGTCTGCCGACTTAATGCACTTAGAGCATTTTATGTGGGGACACACACAATCGGATGTATACAACCGATTTCTATAAAACCGGCTTCTATAAATTCGACCTAATTTCGTAGTGTAGCCATACCCTTACTTTTTGGGGGTTGCAAAGGCTGAAAGGTAGGGCTAGATTAGGCCGAATATATTTACAGTTGAAATAGTGGTTTTAATCATGCATAGTTATCACTATCATACAAATATCACCTGGCAAGAGAAAGAAAAGGGAGTAAAGAAGCATCACTTATGGTTTTTACAATACAAGTCTACAGTGTTTTCCTGCTGTTCACAAATGTGAAAAATATTATAATAGTTTTCAAGATGCAGTGAATTAGAAGAAAACATGTTTCCCTGTAAAATGTACTTTAAGAAAGCTTATTTGTTTGAAGACACATAATGCAATTAACTGGTGTAATGATAATATATGAGGTTAATCAGACAAGGGGGTTTTGAGAAAGAGAGAGAGAGAGTAGTTTTTTAAGTAAGCCTTTTGGGAAAAGTGGCCTGGTTCTCCACTGCCTTGCACCTTGTGTAGTCATTTAGACCTGTGCAGAGTGAATGTAAAACATTATCATTCTGATCAGGTAGTGTATTACACTCATTTTTCACAGACGTAAATGTTGACATTAGGTGCAAGGCAGTGGAGAAACAAGCCCTGACATTTTGTAAAGTTAGATCTTCTTTTTTTTTTTTAAAGGCTTGATCTATCTAGAAAGTCTAAATGTGATTTATTCAATAGTGCTCAAAGGGAACTAGTGCATAATGATAAGATTAGGTGGAATATTGAGTTATTGAAGGGATCCACTGATAATGCTGGTTAGCTCTTGATGGCTGGCACAGTTTTTCATTAGTCTTGTGGAATTTACAAGCTCTTTTGTCAGTCATCAGAGCTTCTAATCTGTGCAAGATATAGCTTGTCTTCAAGGAACATAGACACTCTGCAGACACATTTGTGGGGTATTTGTAAGCCAAATAGCTCTGGTTCAGGAGGCTTTCAATAGCTTGTGAATTTTAAAAGCAAACTGACTCCACATCAGAAAGCCTTTCCATGAGCCTCTCTTACCAGGAATGGTGATCATCAGGAACAAAAAGTAAGGATAGTAATGCAAAAGCTCTCCACTGCAGCTTCCTATATTCAGATACATTCGGGGATTCCATGAGATTTTCATCAGGTATATGGTTTTTAATTGAGAAGGTATTTCAATGAAAAGATTCTAAATGAGAAGGCATTTCTGGGTCAGAGTTTGAAAAGGTGACAAGTGAGCAAGACAGTTCCTCAGCTTTGCCAAGTTTCTCAGGATTTATCTATTCTAGAAAATCTAGGATAAAGCCGGGGGGGTGGAGAGGCTCTTCCAGCTACCATGTCCCATGTCCTCCAAAAAACGAGTCTACAAGCTTTAGTGAGCAGTGATTGGCTAACTACAGGTAGCAAGTGACTTTTTTCAAAGGCAAAGCATGTAACAGATGATGCAGGAGACAAACTTCTACTCCTCAGGCTCCTGTTACTGCCTCCAGAACACCCTTGAGTCAGCAGTCCTTCAGATCTTCCAACATTCTCAAGCACAAAATCTTACACAAGAAGATCACACACCTTTTTGTGAATGGAGTGATGGAACCAGTGCCTCCAGAAGAGAATATTGTTTTATTGAAAAGAAGCAACCAGTGGAGGGCAGTCTTGATCTGAAATTGGTCAACAGATGTATGAGTGTGCAAATTCTGGATTAAGGGCCAAATTCAGAACTGGTGTAAACAGATGCAACTTTACTGACTTGGATGGAATTATATCAGTTTACACTAGGGTTAAATTTGGCCTGGACACTCTAGCATCTATGGTGAGATCAGTCCTGTAAGAAACCCACAGGAAGACCTAATCCTTGTTCCCAAGGTGTGTACTACCTAAGTAATAGTTTCAAGCTACATCTCTTCCATAAAGTATTCCTGGGGGAATTCTGTGCCCCTCCCCCCCCCAATAAAAAATTCTGCATATTTTGTCAAAACAACACAATATAGTCAAAACAGCACAATATAGTC